TAATGTATTTTTGTAATCATAGTTTTCTTTTTATGTGTTTATTGTTCTGAGAAAGAAGGACTAACGGTTTAAGAAGTTGAAGGCAGAGAAAAATAAGCCAGTGGGATAAAATCTAAGGCTGTAATCACAATGCGAGATTAAAGAGGAGCTGATACTTTGATCAGAAAAGAAACGCTCAGGGGGTTATATGAAAAGTAAAAAAGAAGGATATGAAATTATGAGGTTACTATACAGAAAAAAATAAGTATAAGGAAAGAGAAATCAACACTTATTAAAAATCAGAGCACTGAATAAAGGGTAACTGATGAGCAAAATCTAATAGTCTGCCGCAGTATTGGGAGCAGAACACATTTTATATGGGAGCCTCTGTGATATGATAGTATTACAATGAATTGGCATCTAATCAGCCACAAATTCAGATCATTCAAAACAAACAGGAAGAAATCTAAATCAGTGATTTAAAGCAAAGAATGCTTGTTCAGAGTCTACAGAGGTTTTTGACCTAAGAATACACTTGTGAGCAAATGAAATACATCATAAAAGAAACAATGCCTTGGTTTAGGTCCTTATTGATGACAATATTTCAAATCATTTCATCAGTTAGTATCAAAGGAAATGTGATTTAGCTGTTTTCCTGTGCCTCTAAACAAGTCCATAAATTCACTTTTTATCAAGGAACTGTGATAACTTTTACATCCTATACTCTGGTCAGGATTGGAACAGACCATCCAAAACGTATCAAGATGTTGTGAGCGCTTACCTAAGAACGCAGGGGAGCCTGCGGGCAGCCTCCTGGCCCATTGCCCACTCAGTACCCGTCTGGGCAGGACACTCTGTGTCCATTCGAACTTTGGGCTCACTGGAATCGTGCAGCAATGTGCCCACTTCATCAGACACTTGATGAGTTTTTTCAGGCGTGGGAGCACAAAGCACCTCGTCTCCTCTCCAGTTGCTCTCCTCACCACTTGGAGAGGAAGCTACAGATGATTCCTCTTGGGCCTGGACTCTTGATTCCCAGTCTCTAGTTAACTGCTCCCAGGGGCAGCAGAAAGGTGCCAGAGTACCAAGCTTAACATAGTTGGGCCGTTTTGCAGGAGGGCGTCTAATGAAAACCGAAGAGCAGAGTCAATTTTGAACAATTTAGCACTGGACAATTAAAATAATCGTGGCCCCTGTACTACATCTCTATTTTAAAAACAAACATACACAAAAAGTTTTCTAAGAAATACGATGAACAAGAATAACCAACGGGGCGGCCGGTTAGCTCAGGTGGTTAGAGCACAGTGCTCATAACACCAGGGTTGATGGTTTGATTCCCACATGGGCCAAGGAGCTGCGCCCTCCACAACTAGATTGAAACAACTATTTGACTTGGAGCTGATGGGTCCTGGAAAAACACACTGTTCCCCAATTAAAAATAAGAAAATTCAAAATAATAATAAGCAACTGTACAGGCCAAGGTTTTTGTTTACTTGTTTTTATTTTTTAAGAGGTAACGTACCTACAATGTAGCCCCATGTGGCCACTGCACAATTCCAGGGAGTGCCACCCCTGAAAGATTACAAGTAAGTGGTGTCCCTGCAGTTGTGCAATTATGTCCCTGCACATTTACAGGGTTCTCAGTTCAAAAGGTACAAAAGGTGTGAGGGCGGAGTTTGTCTCTCATTCTTGACCTCTAGTGACCCAGCTGCCATCCAGAGAGAGAATGTCAGTATCAGATTCTCATATATCCTTCCAGAGACATTTTATTACATATAAGCAGATATGCACATATTTCTTAAATTTTTTCACCAATTTTTACACAATGGTGGCATACTAGATACTTTCTTTTTTGCCAGACTTTACTTTTTTCATTTAACAAAACATCTTGGAGATCACGTAATACATCAAGAGATCTCCATTCTTTTGTAAAAGGCTGCATATCTTATCCCACCGAATGATTATACCCTAGTTTACTTAGATAGCCCTCTATTGCAGGACACTGGTGATTTTCAGGCTTTTGCCTTTACAAACAAGGCTGTAATGTATAACCTTGAACACGCGGCACAAGTACATCCACAGGATAAGCTCCTGGGAGTGCANCACACACACACACACACACACACACACACACACACCCTTGGCTCCTCAGAAGTTGCAACAGGAAATAGGCACCCTGTCTCCTGAGAGCTCTGGGGTAGACATCTTTTCTCCCGCCTCACATTCCTGTGGCATACTTCTGTTCAGCACTTACAGCAGCAACCTGCTGGGAACAGGTGTAGTTTCAGCACCTTGCCTTAGCTACACCTCGTTTCTGCTGTAGGCCTTCTCGACTGGCCTTCAGTGGGGTCCCCACAGAGAAGACTCAGCTGTTCTAGCACCAGTGCGTGCAAACCTGGAGGTGCAAGCAAGGCGATGAACTCTCCGGGGGGGCAACACTTGATCAGTAGGAATGAGCTGAAAAATACAGATTACCCTCTTTGGGCCTCATGTGGACAATGCAGAGATGCACTCCCTTGCCCCCATGGGGAACCAGCTGAATTACATGTGATCAAATCGGTTTTCACTGCCCCAGTTCTCTGCTCAGTCCTGTTCCCTTAGGTCACTTCCTAAAATAAACTACCTGCATGTAAGCCGTCCCAGGCTCTGATTTTGAGGAAAACCAGGCTCACGAATGCCTCAAGCAGTAGCGGCTATATCCTGCAGAGCAAAGAAGGAGGAGGCTGGAGACTTTAGAGAGGCCCACAGTGACCCAGAACGTTCCAGGCTTTCCCCAAAGCCTGCAGCCCCTGCCCGAGGCTCCAGCAGCTGTGTAAGGTTGTTTGAGAACAAATTATGTCCTGTCCAAAAAATACTTTAAGGTTCTCTGTGAGATGTTGGAAACAAGAGAAGGAAAGCGAAAGAAATGAGGCTTGTTTAGCCTGGAGAAGAGAAAAGCAAAAAGGTTAATAACTGACTTCCTAAAAATAAAAGGCTGGTTCTCAGTTACCTGACGTAAGGATGGGGCTACAGGCAGTTCGCCCATCAGTTGCTGCCAAGGGGGAAATAGCATCTCCAGGTGAAGTAATGAGCTCCCTGACATTGGAGGCAGTCAGCTCGTGATGGGAGGGCAAGCTTATTGAGGATGGGATTCAGTCATTAGACAGGAGCTTTCAAAGTTGTTTCTTCTCTAGTTCCCTCTTTAAAAATCACANGACTCCAGGTGACATCCCAAATGAGTACAAACAGCCATCTGTCAGTAGGCTATCGAACCTTAACGTGCGCCCTACACCAGAAATCTCATTTATGGGATTTAGCCGAAGGTCTATGCTTTCTTTCCCCTACAGCTCTTCCCATGGCCCGAGGCGGGCAGATGGCCTCCTGATGCCCCCAGACCACTTTTCTTCTCCTTCCTCTTCCCAGACCCCAGCTCCCCGAACGAAGCACATGCCATCAGATAAACCGCTAGCTGTCCCTCTTCAGCCAGGTCCTCTCTCAACTTCCCAGGCACCCCCCTTCCCCGTCCTTCACCTGCCACACTATCTTCCCCGCTATCACGACTCCTGTCATTCTCAGTGGCTTCAGCATCTACATATATCATCCCTCTAATACTCTGGCCTACTAGAAACTTCGTATCCTCACTTCACACCTTTTACTTCACCCCACCTCAACCACGCACTCTCCTAGACACACCTTCGTTTTCGTCATTGATAATACCTGCTCCACCTGAAAAATCTCAATTTCAAGTATCCTTCACTCAGAGTGATGCCTCCTATTTTCCCAGCCCATTTACGTGTCCCCGGCAACAATTCCTCAACCATTGAACCTCCTATTCATTTGCTCTACCATTTCCTCACTGCTCATCAGCAGTCCTCACGTTTCTCTCCTTATCAGCGCAGATCCATGGCTCAAGAGTCACTCCCTCACATTTACCCTCAACTGCCTCCACCTGGCAAAGCCCGTCTTCATCCCTTTCAACCTTCCACCTACCCCATGCCAGCACCTGACTGGCAGAACACAGCTGGGAAGAACACACAATAGTCCTGAGTGGTCCTACTCAATACTCAAGTGGATATGCTTACATTGCTTACAAATCTCTTACATTTCTCCAGTCAATTCTATCTTCTGCTCTCCCAGACATCTGTTTACATTGATTCCCCTCTCCTCAAATCTCCGACAGCCTCTCTCCCTTTCTTATTCCTAGCTTACAACCTTGCTTTTTTCAGTGAGAAAACGGTCACAATCAGGAGTACTACTGAACCTCTCTATCAGTCAAACCTATTTAA